CTAAACCCTAAACCCTAAACCCTAAACCCTAAACCCTAAACCCTAAACCCTAAACCCCCCAAAATCAGTCCCGGCCTTGAAGCGCTTCTCTGCTTCGTCAACCTGCTTCGCGAGGCCTAGTCGAACCTGCCCGCGTGGCGGCAGGGGGGTTAGGGTTTAGGGTTTAGGGTTTAGGGTTTAGGGTTTAGGGTTTAGGGTTTAGGGTTTAGGGTTTAGGGTTTAGGTTATAGGGGGTTGAGGTTTTTTTTGGGGTTTTTGGGGGGCCTTTACGGTTTCTGGGGCTTCCAGGGCTCTAGCGTCCCCAAGAGAAACCATCGAAAAAGTAAGCCAGACATATTATAAACAAATAATAGCGGCACAACAACTGTTTGCATGTAGAATTAACACGACTGGGTCCAGGGCTTTAGGTTCAAGCTTAGGGCTTCGGGCTTTAAAGGTCTTAGGGTTTCGACTCTGCCTGCGCTGAGGTTTTAGGGTTGCAGGCTTCCGCATAGCTGGACTGGCCGGCGCCGCGGGAACTTGCTGCACATGAGATCTGCCTTTCAGGATCCACTAAACCCTAAACCCTAAACCCTAGAAACCCTAAACCCTAAACCCTAGATCCTATAAATCCGAAACCCATTTGGGGGGGGGGGGGGGGAGTGGGCGTAGGATGAAAACATCTTCGCGATGCTATCGTAGGGAATCTTCATGAAGTTGGCAGGGCTCGTCACGACACATACGAAAAACTCCTGGCCTACCGGTGCTGGATCCCTAGCTCCCTAAACCCTAAACCCTAAACCCCAAATCCTAAACCCTAAACCCCAAATCCTAAACCCTAAACCCTAAACCCCGGCACCACACCCCATACTCAAAAAAAAACGCCAGACCTGGCAATCCCAACCCTTTACACGTTTGCAAGAAAAAGAACCTCCTCCGTGGATCACTAGGTTGCTTTCAGGAATGGGACAAAAAGACAGCCCCCAAACCCTAAACCCGAAACCCTAAACCCTAAACCCTGAACCCTGAACCCTGAACCCCCCTGCCCTGAACCCTACCCCCTAAACCCTTTTTAGGGTTCGTTTGGTCCCCACAAATCAGGTGTGCCACACGCCTTCTCTGCCTGAAGAATTGTCTGGAAGTGAGCACCTTCACAGCGAGGACAATAGCTTCTCGATGTCAGCTCTCCTGAACCTATAAGCCCTACACCCTAATAACCCTAATAACCCTAATAACCCGATAAAGCCCTGTAAAATCTGTAAACCCTAGGAAAGCCCTCTAAACCCTATAAACCATAAACCCTATAAACCCTATAAGCCCGATAAGCCCTATAAACCCTATAACACCTCTAAACCCTGTAATCCCTGCAAACCCTATCAACCCTGCAAACCCTGTAAACCCTACAAACCCTACACCCCAAAGGGTGCTATGAAGAGGATGTTCTGTACATCTTTGCATCGGGCTACAGAACTCGCCTCTGCAGCGACAGGGTCTAGGTTTAGGGCTTAGGGTTCAGGGTTTAAAGGGCTTGGGATTCCGGGTTGAATACGTAACTGCTGTATGTCCTCATTTCGAAGCTCTTCTGGGTGCCATGCACCTTGAAAGAACCGCAAGCCCCAACATCTGTCCCGCTTAGGGGTGGGGTGGGGGGGGGGTGGGAGGTTGGGGGTTCTACACTTAGGGTACATCAGGGTAGCCAAATTTTAGGAAAAAACCCTAAACCCTAAACCCTAAACCCTAAACCCTAAACCCTAAACCCTATCTCCTCATCAAATTCCACACCCGTGCGGTTCCGGGGAGCCCCACAGCCAGCTGTGCCCACAGCGACCTCGGCCTCTGTCTCACGGATGGACCAGGCACCTGCAGAAAATTTTGGGGGGTTGGGTTGTTTTAGGGTTTAAGGTTTCGGGCTTATGGTTCTTTTGAGGGTTTAGGGTTTCGGGCTTAGGCACCTGCAAGAAATTCTGGCTTCAGGGGTTTGTAAGGGTTTAGGGTTGGGGTTTGGGTTCAGGGGATTGAGGGTTTAGGGGGTTTAGGGGGTTTAGGGGGTTTAGGAATTTAGGTGGTTTAGGGTTTAGGGGCTTTGGGGGTGTAGGGTTGCTCAAGTTACATGCAATATGTACTTTGGGTCAAGATTGCTGCAAGCAATACCCCAGACCCTAAACACTGTTGAACCCTCAACTCTAAACCCTAACCCGAAACCCTAAACCCTGCACCCTAAGCCCTACTTCACTTGAATTGGGAGAGGGCTTAGGGCTCCTGACAAGCACTTAAGGGTTTAGGGCTTAGAGGGTAGAAGATTAGGACGACGTAAGAGGTCACTCTACCCACAAAAGTACAAAGGTTTGTCAAGCAAAGTTTGATTGCTGACACTAAGAGGGCTTGCAGGGTCTTGCTTTCCGCTTTTGTGCCGAAACCCGAAATCGCAAAGCCGAATCTCCCTAAGACCTAAAAACCAGAAAAGGCCTAAATCGGTGGAAAGATCTTACACCATCGCCAACACCTGTAGAGCATCAACCTCTTAGCTTACCCTTTAGGGTTTAGGGTTTAGGGTTTAGGGTTTAGGGTGTAGGGTTTAGGGTTTAGGGTTTAGGGTTTCGGGTTTAGGGTTTAGGTTAGGGATTCGTAAAACACTGATGGGTTCAGGGATTAGGTGGGGAAATCAAGCCCTCAATCAACCCCCTCACCCCCCACCCACTAGTGTGAAAATAGATGCCCGAAAGGCTGTTGGTTTAAGGCAAACTCTCTACACCCCACCCTCTGGGTAAACCCTAAACCCTAAGCCCTAAACTGTTGCGGGGGACCCCATCCCGCCTAGAGCGTCTTCGAGCTCCACCTGGTTCTCAGCATGTTGTTTTGTTTTGTCCTGGGGTGGACTTGGATTTAGGGCTTGGAGTAGGCACTTAGACACGTTTAGGCCGTTTAGGTGCTGGGGACTTACCCTAAACCCTAAACCCTAAACCGTAAGCCCTAAACCCTAAACCCTAAACCCTAAACCGTAAGCCCTAACCCTAAACCCTAAACCCTAAACCGTAAGCCCTAAACCCTAAACCCTAAACCCTAAACCCTAAACCCTATGGTTTTGAAGACTGTCACGCGGAGCTCGCGGAGGGAGCCTGACACTGTACGCAAGGGGCCAAAGAAGGGTACCACAGAGCAGGGTGGGGGGGGGGGGAACCCTAAATTCTAAACCCTACTTCAACCCTAAGCCCTAAACCGCAAACCCTCTAAGCCCTAAACCCTAAACCCTAAAACCTGCACCCTAAGGAGAGTGGAGGAGCTGCAGGAGATGGGCACGGCCCGGCGGAACAAGCAAGCGCTGTTAATTTGGCTTTGGGTTTAGGGTTTAGGGTCAGGGTTTAGGGTTTAGGGTTTAGGGTTTAGGGTTTAGGGTTTAGGGTTTAGGGTTTAGGGTTTAGGGTTTAGGGTTTAGGGTTTAGGGTTTAGGGTGTGTTAGCATGGAATGAGGGACTTAGGGCCCTATACAATACCCTTTAAGGGATTATACAGGGTACCTCATTGCCCCCATGCCCTGCCAACAAAGAGCAAAGTTTAGGGGTTCGGGTTCAGGGCCTCGGTGATGTTGGCGAAACTTTCCTCGCTGTTGGACGTCGAGGTTCGCCAAATGCGAAACTGTCGTCACCCTAAACCCTAAACCCTAAACCCTAAACGGTGTTCGTTTTGAGGACAGCCGGATCTCTGGTGGCTCGAAGTTGCGTGACAAGCGCAGTACGCGGATGATGTCTGGGGCTCCGGTGGCATCAAAGCCGTTCTTTCGTGGCCCATGAAGCTCTTCGTGCCCCCATAGGGTTTAGGGTTTAGGGTTTAGGGTTTAGGGTTTAGGGTTTAGGGTCACTGTTTTGGGGTCTGCGCTGGCATATTATTCTCGGCCGTTTGCTCATACAGGTGTGAAGGATTAACTTACTTCTCCAACAACCAAGCGGAAAAAAATGGTCCTCGAATGGGTACCGAGCAGTGGCACGTTGTAGAATCACTTTGCCCCTCTTGTTTCAGGGCATAGCGTGGAGCTGTGTGCCGCTCCTTCACTTCACTGCATGAATCCGATGCCGGCACAGTGCGTCATCACCCTAAACCCCAAAAAACCCTAAACCCTAAACCCTAAACCCTAAACCCCCCCCCCCCCAGGTCCCCCGGCCAGATCCTTACTTGACTTGGCCCGGTCCACTCGGCTGGCGAGATGGGCCAAGGTCGCCTTTCGCAACTTCGGACGTGAGCCCCGTGTTTTTTGTTTCCTCGGGTTCTTCGTAGGAGTTGGGGTTTAGGGTTTAGGGTTTAGGGTTTAGGGTTTAGGGTTTAGGGTTTAGGGTTTAGGGTTTAGGGTTTAGGGTTTAGGGTTTAGGGTTTAAGGCTTTAGGGCTTAGGGCTCAGGGTTTAGTAGGGAGTAGGGGAGTTGCAGGGTCCGCATATCAGTACATCGTCCATTGCAATGGGCATTCCCGACTTCCGTATGAAGAACTACAAAGCGCAGTTGGCGTTGATCCTAATCGCCCCCCTCGTGATTGCTTTGGGGGTTGATAGTGTCTACAGTGCATGGTAGGACGTTTCTGTCAAGGGTTTTTGGAGCCCTGGCCTGGCGTGAAGGATTGCAGCTTGCAGAAAACTCGGAACTCTCTCTTAAACCCCAAGCCCTAAAGCCTTTGGAGTAGCTTAGGCCCGAGGGCCTGAACTCCCTCGAAACGGGCTCAACACGCAGACGGCTTCATTGCAACTAAGGAAAACAGCCCTCAATTCGAAAAAACCCTTCTATTCATGGGACTTGTCCTTGGACCCCTAAGGTTGTACCCTTTGTTTGGGGGCCCTTCAGAAGCCTAGTTGTCCAGTAACCTGGGGGGAATTAAAGGCTAACCTTTGGGATTATAAAGGGATTCTACTACCCCAACAAGGTTAAAGGTTAACCCTTTTTGCATCCAGGTCTGACGCCGGGCATCACCTAATTTACTGAAGAGGCGAAACTCGTGTTCACCCCTCAAAGAATAGCTCGAATACGCTCAACTTGATCGTCAGGTAAATGTCACAAAGAGAACCACACATTGAGTTGCAACGCTGAATTCCGCAGACATGGCATGAAGTTCACTGCAGATGGCATCCCAAACCCCATGAGGGATATTGAGCAGGAAGACCCAGTTCTCGTACAACATCCTGACATGGAGGAGGAAGGACCTCAACGCTACGGAGATCTCACTGTCAAGCTGCCATCCCTGCATGCCATGGGTTTCATCGATCCAGTGGGCTTGGTACCCTTCTGCACCACACAAGAGGACCATGCTGAACATCCACGGAACATGCTGTAGCAAAGCATCCTGCCATCGACCCCAGACCCCAGATCCCAGGCGACTATGGGACTCGACGTGTGACAGCGTCATGAAGTGCGAACGACCCTTAGCACACCAGTCCTCCCGCTGAGCCGCCCTGGCAACCACCGAATCTAAACCCAAAGTCTCCATAAAGACAGCACTGGCAGTCTTCGTGAGCCACTTGCCTGGTGTATTCGCCAGCCCTCCCTGCGGCCTCTGCGCAGAGGCCGTGTCTACAAGCGCTTGGCGAGTCAGGTGCTCAACCGGTTTGCGGAGCAAGTGGCCCATGTAACCCCAGGTACGCTGCCTTGTCATGAAGGTCCAGGATCCAGCTGGGTTAGCACTCAAGAAAACCATGGTAGCACGTCTACGTATCCTATGCAACGACATGGCGGTTGCATGTTTGAGATGCACTGGAAGATAGAGCTTGAGGAGACACACTAGGACCGTAACCTGGAGCACCTGAATGTCCTGCAGGCTGCTTTGGTTGATGGAAAGCACTGGAGCCAACCATAGCCATTTAGCACCAATATACTTGTTGCAGAGGCTGAGCGCCAGTGAAGGCTGGTTCCAGGTGAGACCTTTGAGCACGGGCTGCAGGCTCGAGAGTCCCTGGTGCACTGCACGGCGTATTGTCGGACGAAAGAGCATGTACAAGTTTTCTCCTACATCCACATGCCTGAACGGCTTGCGGAGGTACTTGGTTTGCGATGTCCAGGGGATCTGGGTGAGGATGTGGTCATCTGGTATCGGTATCTCCCGTCCGAGTCGGAGCGTGTCAGGGTGCGCCATCAACTCAGTCTTTTGAAGACTTAGTCGAAGGCCAGCCTTCGCGAGCGCTGCGACAATCCGAGGGAGAAGCTCAATGCTCGAAGCCCAACTGCCAAATTGCAATAGCATATCGTCTACAAAAAGCCAGCCCCAAGAACCAATGCTGGATCTGTGCCCCTGGGAAGTCCAAATTGAAAACTCCTGCTGTAGAATATGGCCAATGATGTACGCAAACAACAGTGCTGAATACGTGTGACCCTGTTGGACCCCTTGGCATTGCTCAACAAGCCACTCAGTCCCCTCCAGGAAAACCTAAGCGCGGATGGCACACAATGCGGAGAAGCTGGAGAGCCTCCCTGGAGAGCCTCGCCGGGGTGTATCGCTGGATGAAGTCAGCAATCTCACTGTGGTGCAGGGAATCAAAAGCGCTAGCGATATCTGCATTGACCCAGATACTTCTCTCAGTCGTGAGGCTCTCCACTAGGGTCCGCCAGTGTGCAGCACAAAGTGCGTCCATGACTTGTCCCCCTTGCAGGGCGCCAAACTGTCCGGGAGGTTGGGGCCACTCGCTCCGTAGCCTCTGAGTGAGCAGTCGGCAGAACAATTTCATACACACCTCAACTAAATTAATAGGGCGAATACGCTGGGGGTGGAGAACATGCTGTAGTTTCGGCACCAAGGCTACAAAGGAGTCATGTAGCTCGCGAGGCTGGTCGCCTGCCTCAAGCTGGGCATTCAGGAAGGTAGCGAGTACGGTCTTGCCAGCATCTAAAGACCACATTGCATGTATGAGTTCTGCTGAAATCCCACTCATCCCTGAGGATTTTCCTGTTTTGAGGGCAGCTATGGCAGCACTGATCTCGTCGTGGGAGAAATGAACAACAGCAAACTCACCCGTTGCCAGCTGGAGAGAGTCAACAGCCTCACGCACTGCAGCCTGCTGCTGCAGGGGCACCTTCGGAGAGAAGAGCGAAGTGGTCTTTCACAGCACTGGTGGCATTTGCGAGACCACCAGCTACCTGCACAAGACTATCCGCGCTGTGGCGGGGAGTCGCTCTGGTTCGCAGGTATCTGATAGCCGAGGCATCGCCAGTGCTAGCCTTGTGCTCTAAATCCTGTAGCCAGGCCAGTTGTTCAGCCCTTCGTCTGGACAGTATTAATTTAGTCAGCTCTTGCCTTTGTGCAGCATCGTTACAGCTGCGCCTGCGGCTACAAAGTTCTTTGAGGGCAGGGCTATCGCGAAACTTCTGGGAGGGAACCCTACGACATGACCAAGTTTGAATATCTTTCAAGGCTTCCCATTGACCCTGCAGAGAGAAGGAAGAAAAGTCATGCTGTACTGCAGCAACTGCCTCGTTCAGAGCTGGGCTTGCGAACCATCGGCCACAACGCCCCTTTTGGGGTCTCCGGCGACGGCGACGACGCTTGTTTGCCGTCAACCCCAACGCGAGCTCCAAGGATACTCTGTCATGATCACTGCAGAGCTCATGTCGGGAATCGGGGTGAACTTTGACAACCACCGCACCAGGAACCCTGCGCACAGTGGCCATCAATGGCCTGCTGACGTATGCATAATCAAACTCAGCACTGCAGAACTGGCCATGACGCGAAGGGGCACCAGGGCGCAAGCAGACAAAGCCGTAGGACTGAAACATGCCATCAAGCAGCACCCTGCTCCGAGTTGAAGTCTCCCACAAAGATTGTCTGCTCATCCCGGTGCTGGTGGCATAAAGTAGCCAACTCGGCAACACTTGCTGCATACATCTCTTCGGAATTATCATTATGTGGCATATGGACTGAGAACAACCATCGAGGGGAACAGGAGGAAGAGGCCTCATAGTGGACACCTATCACTCGCTCTCCTTTATGGGTTCCACGGACGAAGTCTATGGAATCCTGAGGCAGCAAGATCACCTGTGCCAGATGGGACTGCAATTCCGAGCTCCCGAAGACACGATAGTCTGCAAGCTCATCATCATCAAAGAACTGGTACTCTGAAAGGGATCCCAAAGGAGTGGCACTACTCTCGTTCGAGACAAGGGGCAGGGTTTTCGTACCACCAACCTCTTGAAGTGCCAAAAACTCAATGCCCGGATCAACAACTTGTAGCCAACCCGAAACAGCTTTCAAACTCTTCCCTTGTAGATTCCAAGTGTCAGTGAGGAGGAAGTCATAAGTTGACCCTTCCAACTTGTCTCAGTCATGGTACTCGTGCACATGAATTTCGATTTCGGACTCAGGTCTTGACCCAGCCCTGCTGAGGGAGGAGATGTTGAAGAAGATTCTGGCACCATTACCCTCATCGCAGAAGGCTCTCGACACCACTCTGTCAGCCTCAGGGGCGTAGAGGTTCGCCATGGTTCGAGTATGAGTTCAAAAAGTAGCCGCCTATCTGTTTTGGATAGGTACCTATTGGATAGGGGTCTATCGCAATCAGGATAGGTCCCTATCCGTACCCCCCTACCCCCAGGCGATAGACCCCTATCCCCAGGGGTCTCCCCGATGTGGATAGGTACCTATGCATAGGCCCCTGTCCGGAAAGGATAGGGGTCTATATATAGGGGGCTGTCGCCCGGACCTAGACCCCTATCCGTGGCATAGACCCCTATCCCTTTCCGATAGGGCCCTATCCGTCCCTTCCTTCGTCGCCTCACAACTATACCCTAAGCCCTGAGTCCCTACACCCTAAACCTTAAGCCTGAGCCCTAAAAAACCCTAAGCCCGAAACCCAAAAAGAAACCCTAATCCCTAAAAACCCTAAACCCTAAATCCAGCCCTAAACCCCAAAAAAACCTAAACCCTAAAGAACCCCTAAGAAACCCTAATCCCAAAAAAAAACCGTAAACCCTAAACCCTGAGTCCCTACACCCTAAACCCTAAGCCCCAAGCCTGCGCCCTAAAAAACCCTAATCCCGAAACCCAAAAAGAAACCCTAATCCCTAAAAACCCTGAACCCTAAATCCAGCCCTAAACCCAAAAAATCCTAAACCCTAAAGAACCCCTAAGAAACCCGAATCCCTAAAAAACCGTAAAACCTAAATCCAGCCCTAAACCCTAAAAACCTGTCCCTAAACCCTAAACCCTAAACCCTAAACCCTAAACCCTAAACCCTAAACCCTGAACCCTAAACCCTAAACCCTAAACCCGAAACCCTAAACCCTAAACAACCCTAAACCATAAAAACCCCGAAACCCAATAAGCCCTAAACCCTAAACCCTAGACCCTAAACCCTAAACCCTAAACCCGAAACCCTAAACCCTAAACCCTAAACCCTAAACCCTAAACCCTAAACCCTAAACCCTAAACCCTAAACCCAGCCTTATGCCCAGAAAAAATCCCTAAGCCCTAAACCCTTAAGAACCCTAAACCCTAAAAACCCCTCAGCCCTCAACCCTTAAAAAACCCTAAGCCCTAAACCCTGAAAACCCTAAACCCTAAACCCTAAAAACCCTAAACCCTAAACCGTACAAACCTCGGAACCCTATAAGCCCTACACCCTTAGAACCCCTTGCCCTAAACCCTAAAAAACCCTCAACTTCAAACCCCGAAAACCCTAAACCCAAAAAAACCCTAAGCATAGGCATGTTTTTTCAAGCCCATCATGCGAGCATTCTGTGTGCAAATGGGGGGGGGTTGCGCCCCCCCCCCAAACCCCCGCTTAATTCTTTTTCGAACCCATCATGCGAGTGGTGTTTGCAAATGGGAAGGGGGGGGGTAAAAATCCCTAAACCCTAAACCCCAAAAAAAACCCAAACCCTAAGAATCTTTAAGTCCTAAAAGCCTAAACAGAGGCATGTTTTTTCAAGCCCATCATGCGAGCAGTGTGTGTGTCAAATGGGGGGGGGCTGCGCCCCCCCCAACCCCCCCGCTTAATTCTTTTTCGAACCCATCATGCGGGGAAGAATCCCTGTACCCTAAACCCCAAAAAACCCTAAACCCTAAAAATCTGTAAGCCCTAAAAACCCCTAGAACCCCAAAAACCCGAAACCCTCCCTAATCCCGAAACCCGAAAACCCCTAAAGCCTAAAAAGCTCTGAGGCCTGAACAAGAAATCCTAAACCCTAAAAACCCCTAAACTCTGAACCCCCCCAAAACCCTACAAAAACCCTACACGCTAAACTCTCGCTCGAGCACAAGTGATACATTTGTTACCATAGGGGTCTATGGGTTTGTGGATAGGGTCTATCCGGAGGGGGGTAGGGGCCTATCAAAAATGGACAGGGGTCTATGCCGCATAGGGGGGTGGTATAGGTAGGGATAGGGTCTATGCATAGGGGTCTATTGGAAAAGGCATAGGGCCTATGCATAGGTGTCTATGCATAAACGGACAGGTCCTATGTATAGGGTCCCACCATGGACGGGGAAGGCTCAGGGAATAGGACCCTATCCCAAAACCATAGGGGTCTCTATAGGGTCTATCGACGTCTATGATAGGGGGCTACTTTTTAGACCTATCTTCCCATGGTTCCCGCTGCAACCCTGGAATCGCCGAGCCAGATGACTTGTTTGGCCCAGCTGTATTCAAGTTTCGGTTGTTGTTGGTCAGGGAAGAGCGACAGGATGGCCTGTCCAGCTTTGCGAGTCATCTTGTTCATGGATCTCCGGGCTGCTGTCCGTGAGGGGGCAAGCCACGTGAACTGGTCTGAGGCTGTCTTCACAGTATTGTTGTACTTGGCTCGGAGAGCGTAAAATCTCTCTGAGGCCTCTGGGTTGAGAGTCTGTTTCAAAAAGATGTGGCCCGTTTGAGCTCGCAACCCATATATCACCGAGCGCTCTACCCACTCGGCATCTTGGGGAGAGAAGGTATCCATCAGGCGACGAAGGTCAGCCTCAATGAATCGCCGAGGGGTATCGAAGCCCCAGCCACCCACTATGATGTGGCAGTAATCCGTGTCGGACGCCGTCGATGATCCCAGACCAGCTGGAGGGAGAGTTCACGGGCCCCTGTCGCGCCTGATTGGCCAAGTAGGCTGCCCACGGGTCCACTTGCTGACGTTCCTTGGGCGGTGGGACTGCATGCAAGTCGGGCGTCCGGGTTCCTGGTCCGTCTCTGGCGGTAACAAGACGCGAGAGCTCGTCAACTCTGGCACTCAAGGCATCAATGCGAGGATCAGGTGGAGGATTGGCTGCTTGTTGTTCAACGGCATTCAATCTCGAAGCAATGCCAGTGAAAAGCTCTCTCATCTCAAGAAACCCTGTCTCACATGAGTTCCTAAGGGAGGCAGCCCAAGCAGGCATCATGTCAGAGCCAGTGTTTCCGGAGTGTTCACGAAGTAGCTCCTCAAGCTGCTGGTTAGGGTCATCATCGATCGGAGACTGTCTGGCCTTCTTGGAAGGAGAAACCTCCTCAAGAGAATCGTCAGACTGACTGTCAAGCGGAACGAGCTGTTTCCCCGTATCCATGGCACCCTGAAGAGTGGAAAGAAAGCCTGAGCCGAAACCTTGAGCCAAAAAGGTTAACCCTAAACCCTAAACCCTAAACCCTAAAGCCTAAACCTTAAACCCTAAACCCTAAACCCTAAACCACCTACTCTACTACTGGGGAAAGATCCTCTAACGGAACCAACCCTCAACTCGAGATCCCAAAATTCAGTTCAAGGACTAACAGCTTGACCAGCCACTAGATTTGGGGGCCCTGTACACATTAACCTTTTTTTGCTGGGCTCTATAAGGATTCTATAGGGGATTGAGGTATGTTCAAGCCTACCTCTGATGATCTGAATTCCCAGTACAACACCCTGAAAAACTGACAGGCTTAACGGGTGCTGAGCCCTTTATGCAACCCAGGCTCCCTATCTTGTCAGCTGGGGGCTAACACCCTAAACCCTAAACCCTAAACCCTCTAACCCTTAAACCCTGTGGGTCGAAACCCGAAGACCTGAAACTCATGCCTTGGAGGAGTCGAGGAGGTCGTCCTCCCAGACTTCCAAAACTCCGAGCGGAGTCTTGATAGGTTTGGTTGAGAGTTTAGGGTTTTGGGATTAGGGCTTAGGGTTTAGGATTTAGGGTTTAGGGTTTAGGGATTAGGGGTTAGGGCTTAGGGTTTAGGGCTTTCGTATCACCACCGAAAGTGCCCTGTAACGTGCCTGATGTGAGCTTGAATTCCCCCCCCCCCCCCCTCCCTCCCAAAAGGCAGCCTTGACATCCCCCCCTTCCAAAACTCTAGCCTGAACAATACACCCTATGGGCCTCATTTGGGTAGTTTAGGGTTTAGGGTCTCCCTAAACCCTAAAGGCTGAACCCTAAACCCCCTAAAACCCCCTAAACCCTAACTTGGAGGCGCAGGGCTTCTAGTTTCCCCGAATGCATCAGGTGACTTAACATGACGGAAACCGGGGGTCCTCCACGTGGAGTCCCATGACTTCCTGGGCATCAAGACTTGCGGGTTTAAGGCTTAGGCTTTAGGGTTTCGGGTTGAGGGCTAGGGTTTCGTGTTTCGGGGTGCAGGGTTTCGGGCTAAACCCTAAACCCTAAACCCTGAACCCTAAACCCTAAACCCTAAACCCTAAACCCTAAACCCTAAACCCTAAACCCTAAACCCCGTCCCAGCCCTGGCTTTAAACGGAGCCACTCCTCCAGCAGCACCCCAAAGAGAACATTCTCGCAACGCCCCGGCCTACTTGACGTCATCGCTGCTATTTGCTGAACCCCCCCAAAACAAACAAAACTGAAAGATTACCCTTGTATGTGCATATGTGTATATACATACACAGATATTGTTATACCTTGTTGTTTAAACAATCGCAATAGGGTTTAGGGTTTAGGGTTAGGGTATCGCAGCATCCTGCGAAACAGGGTCGGACAACACATCAGGGATTAGGTGGTTCGGGGGGCCGATGGCGAGATTTTGCCTATTGAGAGAGTTGCCGCCAAAGATGCCTCCAAGGGAACCCCCTAAACCCTAAACCCTGAACCCTAAACCCTAAACCCTAAACCCTAAACCCTAAACCCCTAAGCTGATGAGGCGCATCAATGCCCGCAGCCATCTCAAAGAGCTCTCGGCTCTCAGCAGCGCAGCGTAGGTGGTGGAGCGCGTCTTCGACGCCTGGCGGTGGGAAGGGGCTCGTTAGGGTTTAGGGTTTAGGGTTGAGGGTTTAGGGTTTAGGGTTCCCTAAACCCAAAACCCCCTCAACCCCCCAAATACTTGACATCACTGTAATGGGTTTTCGCTCTTGCACAGCCGGACGAACGTCACCGACGGGTTGGTGTGGCATGTCCGGCATCACTGAGATGCAAACGATTAGGAACTCTCGACTTGCACCTCACGCAATCAGTTTGCACACCAGCAGGTGCTGATTCTCAACTTTTGGCAACAGCCGTGCTGCACCCCGCAAGTGCTGACTCTCAACCAGCAAACAAAACGCAAACTCGAAACCCCTCTCCACATCAGCAGTCACCAGTCGACGCCACAAGTTGACACCGCCCATCACACACGTAACCACTCCAGCTCAAAAACAGCCAAACACCCTAAATCGGGTTTGGGGTATAGGGTCTACAAGCACCTTCAGAGGTAAACCCTCGACCCTGGAAGCCCTAACTTGGTGGGAAACTCCGCAATGGGCTCGGGTCCAACGTCTCGAGGTTTATGGTCGAGATTGCAAGTCTTCCGACACATCCGGGACCGATTGCAGTATGTGGACGTTAGAGTGCCCGCGCAGATTCGTTGCATGCTTTCGAGGCCCAGGTCGTTGCAACTGCTCCATGCCATTGCGTTTCCAAGATTGACGTAGACCACTTGTAGTGTTCTGAATGGCCTCTGTATGGATGATGCAGGTTCCGCATAGCTGGACAAACCACCAAGCAGGGTGCCGGCGACAGGAATGGGGGCTTGAAGCGGAGCACGTCCCTTAGGGCTTCGGGTTTAGGGTTCAGGGTTCATCCAACCGAAAAGAGCAACAGCCAAGGAAAGGCCAATAAACCCACACATAGGGCCCAAGAAGTGAGCAAATGTATCTTATCTGGGAATCTCTGTGGAATCTGTGAACAAAACGGGCGCCCCGAAGCCCCTTTAACAACAATATCCCGTCTCCCGAGAAGCTTTGAACACAATGGGGCGATAACAACTATAGAGGATGAAACGACGCCCAGAGCTTGCCATCCCCGGTGGCTAATGTGGAAACATTTCTGGACACACACACACACACATCAGCCTTTCATCCATCTTCAACAGGCCTAGGGCCTAGGGTTTAGGTTCACAGTTTGTATTCGAATGCCACTTCTCAAAACTCATCTTCACCAGCATGGTCGGGCAGATGGAAAGGCAGCTTTGTGGGTGGACCAGCGGACCAAGACATTCAGGGTTTAGGGTGTTTGGGTTTCGGGTTTAGGGCTTGTACTAGTCAACTGTGGAGAAGTGGCTCAGGGGGACGGGGTAGGGAGAAGTATTCAGCCCAGCGGATGGGCGTCCCGAACTCCCGGCCACCCAAAACCAAACCCTCCCGCACCCGAACTCCCAAAACTTCCTAAACCCTAAACCCTAAACCCGAAACCTCGCCCCCCAAAGCTCGAGTTCCTTCATTCATGACGGGGTTAGGGGTTGTATAGGGTTTAGGGTTAAGCGTTCCCCGTGCACGACGAGGCGCGCGACTGTAGCTCGGCCGCTTCGGCGACCTCCGTCTCAGGAAGTTCCACCTGCTGCGCCTCCGAAAGGCAAGGCTGCGATCTAGGGGGGGGTCCAAAAAAATAGGGGTATGCTTCTTGGGGGGTTCAATTTTTAAGGGGATTCTAGATTCTAGATTCTGTATTAGGGTATAAAAAAGGGGTACCTTATTATTTTGGGAAGCATCCATATCTGAGGGGAGATGTGGCCAGTGTCATCCTCAGCACCCAGGACTCCCCATGTAAACCCTTTGACCCCAAACCCTGATATTCAGCATTTCTGTAATGGGATTTGGGAGGAAGCAAAAAGGGTTTTGGGTTGAGGGTTTGGGGTTTAGGGTTTCCCCTTTTTGGTTGTTAAGGGGATGAGAAGGGAAGCCCAACCTAAAAGAAGGAAAAAAAGGGCCTACTCCCGGTCCGAGGCATTTCTGTAATGGGGTTTGGGAGTTTCCGAAATTAGGGGTACCTTCTCAGGGTCCTGTTTCGTTGTTGCTAGGTCCGTAGTGCGCGCATGAATTCTGCCTTGCAAATCCTGAATTCGGATTCTTGGAGACCTTCTCAGGGTCCTTAGTATTGAAGGAATCCTACTATTTGGGGGGTGTATCTCAAGGGTCCCGTGTTTTCGTAAACTCCCGTTTAGGGTTGGGCTCAGTCTCCCGGGTTGCCCCGGAGCCTAAACCCTAAACCCTAAACCCTAAACCCTAAACCCTAGTTCAAAACGAGGATACCTCTTTGATGGCTTGGAAAGGCTGTATCGGGGGATCCCAAGCCACAAACGAAGAAAAAAGGGCTACTCCTGGGGGTTTGCATCATTCAGATGATCCCAGGGCCTCATTTAATTGAAACTCCCGGTAAAATCCTCTGCGCAGCCAGTCTCTGCTGAAACTCCTGCAATAAGGCCCTAAACCTAAACCCTAAACCCTAAACCCTAAACCCTAACAGGGTTAGGGGTCAGGGACCTTCAGCAGCGCACGCTGCAGCGACGCCAGCTTCAGCGGCGGCACGACCGCTGCATTCAGGGCCTCTCATATTGGGAGTTGAGGAGGTGGTCGTCTAGGGCTTATACCTTAAGAGCCCCAAAAACCTACTGGTTTCGGTAGCTTTCCTAAGAGTCCTTGAAGGGGATGTTTATAGCAATAACCTACACTACCTATGAAGCAATTGGGGGCGCAAGGTGGGGAGCCAGAGGCTCAAGGTCTTTCGGTTAAGGGTTTAGGGTTTAGGGTTTAGGGTTTAGGATGGGCGTATGCAATTTGCATGGGTTCTTTGCAGAAGCTCCAATTGCGAGCTCAATGACTCAAAGGCACCACACAAACCTAAACCCTAACACGGCTTCGTGTTGCCCAGACTATGTGCACGAAAGCCTGCTCACCGTTCCTAGAACTATTCAGGGACCATACCTTCCGGATTTGAAAATCAGCGCCACGCTAAGAACATGTATGTATGTACTCACATATAGATATACACACTGTTTTTTATACACAGATGTATATGTATGCATACATCTATCTATATATATATATACATATACAGATAGAGATGCGCATCTAGATTTATATATGCAGAGACAGAGAGAGAAAGAACGACAGAGACATACAGAGAGAGAGAGAGAGAAAGAAAGAAAGAAAGACAGAGACATACAGAGAGAGAGAGAGATGCTGAGCTTGACTGGAATGAACCAACTGTCCTTCGAATCTAAAGCATGGTGCAACAGAGGCTTAAGGCCATGGGGAGCAACTCACCCACCCCCCCCCCCCTTTCCCCCACCCACCCAGGGATTGGGGGTTTAGGGTTCAGGGTTTAGGGGGTAAACCATCCGACCCGCACAGCAGCCGCAAAGGCGGCATTGCGCTGAAAGCGTTTTGCCTGCAGCCTCAGCACATGCATGTCCGGACTTGCTTGGGACTTGCTTCGGGCCCTAAACCTGAACCCTAGGCCCTAGACCCTAAACCCTAAACCCGCCCTCTGCACTTCTGTAGTCCTGAGCATCCTTGACTTTCTCCCTCCGCAGGTATACCTTCCAACCTCATCTCCTTAGAATAATCCTTGCTACCCAGAATCTCAACATTCTGCATAATTAAGGGGGAATGCTACAAATTGTTATGTTGCCTGGCTGAGACCTCAGCCAGCTGAGGCTGCACAAGCTTGCCCTTAACAAGCAAAACCCTAAACCTGCGCAAGGTTCCCAAAGTGGGGATTTCCGAAATTAGGGGTACCTGAAAGGGTTCTTGTCGGAAGGGGATCCGACTATGTGGGGGGTCTGTTTTAGGGTCCCTTATTATTTCGTAAGCCCCCTGCCCTAAGTGAAGAAGCTGCTTGTGTTTGCCGACTGGGATGGCGCACGGGTGTTGAGGAAGAAAGCCACATGCACTTGGTCCAAAACACGCTAAACCCTGTGTAGACCCAATCCGCAACACCTCATGAGAAATCTGGCATCAGTGGGCAACAAAAGGAGCTGAAAACCATTGCAGGAAAGAATCTTTATCCCGAACATTGACATGTTCTTCTGCTTCAGCTCATCCATCCAGCCTCAGAGGCAAGTTCATCAGCATTGGGGCATGCTCAAAAGAACGGGTGGTGATTTAGGTAACCCCTATCATCACAAGGCTTGCATATAGGGACTAAACCGGGATGATGTTCACAGCTCCCCATGCTCCTGCATTGGGGGGAGCTGGACGTCATGCTGGAGCACTAGCCTTTGCTATTTGTAGAGTCGCCAGCTACTAGAAGGGACCCTTCATCTTATTCCCCTATGTAACCCCTATATATAACCTATAAAAGTCCCTATATACCTAAGTAGCCCCTAAATAAACCCTAAAAAAACCCTATTTAGCGTCCCTCCTTAAGTCCCTTATAAACGCGAAGCCCTAAACACCGAAGCCTAAGCCCAAAACCCGAACCTCATCTAAAGCAGAGCAATGCCGAGCTGGAAACTCCGAAACCACCCCCACGCCCCAGACTGCTAAGGCTTCATGGACAGACCCGCAGGCTCAAAAAAACCTCAGAACTTGGTAGCCCAGCAGCCATCTTATACTGAGGGCACCCCTTTTTTGGGCTGGCTACTTTATAAGGGAACCCAATAACCCCAAAAAAAATGGTACAGGGGGTACCACTGGGCTACCAAGATGTACCGGTTGCCCACAGGCGTAAACCCTAAACCCTAAACCCTAAACCCGAAGCCCCTTTTGCAAAAAGGAAGAGGGGGGCCTGGAATGGATCCTGGCACTGGAAAAAAAGAGAGAGAGGACCTAAACCCTAAACCCTAAACCCTAAACCGAGGGCATCTGCACTGCATTGCAACTCTTCAATGACTAAGCCGTGACTAAGCGGTACAAAGATGAAAGCAATGGCGCCCCTCGAACATGACAGCGGTCAGTCAACTCTCTGCGTTGATGTCCGTTTTGAGCCACGTCTGGCGAAAAAGGAATCTCAAGCACCCCACCCTAAACCCTAAACCCTAAACCCAAAACCCCAAACCCCAAACCCTAAACCCTAAACCCTAAACCCTAACCCTAAACCCTAATTCTTTACAACCGCTTTCTCGCCCTCCTCTTCAGAAACAGCCGCACGAAGAGAGGACAAAAGAATGCACAGCCAGAGTTGTCTGCCCTTTTGCTCCGGTCACGCCTGCACCTCGCTGCTGGGTAGAGTAACTGCAAGTGCTGAAGTATGTAGCACTGAGGAGTACTGCGGCCATCCAAGGCTTCAGGAAAACTAGAGCATCACCTCAAATGACCCAGGGAGGGAAAGGGCGGGCCACGAAGAAGTGTGCAGCTCAACAGAGGTCTGTACACTTGAGCAACACAACATGTTGCGGGAAACAACGCGTTTGACAACTTCTGTTGCATTCTGACGTTATGGATATCGAAGGTCTCGACTTGATGTTCAGTACCCTCAGCTTGGCACTTTCCATTCAAGGCAGCTCCAAAAGAATAATCGGAGCATTCTTTACAACCGCTTTCTCGCCCTCCTCTTCAGAAACTGCCGCACGAAGAGAGGACAAGAGAATGCACAGCCAGAGTTGTCTGCCCTTTTGCTCCGGTCACGCCTGCACCTCGCTGCTGGGTAGAGTAACTGCAAGTGCTGAAGTATGTAGCACTGAGGAGTACTGCGGCCATCCAAGGCTTCAGGAAAACTAGAGCATCACCTCAAATGACCCACCACTCCAGCACTGGACTCAAACGAGGCCGTAATGCAGTAGCATCTCCCATGTGGAAGCGCAAGAAGGATAACCAACCTTGCAACAGCTGCTCCCTGGAGAGAGGAGCCGCCAATTTCGCCAGATACCGGGAAGAAGCACAACCCGAATCCAGAATGTGCCAGAGCACGCTGTGGGGGGCACAGCCCACAGCAGCCCACATCCCAAGAAACAAACCCCGAGCTATGCCTCCTAGCTCGGACCAGGTAACCACAAGTGCAGGTTCATGTCCAATGGGTTCCGGTGACTTGGGGAAGAGCGTCAGCGAGAGTGCCTGTACACGATGAATTCACACTGAGCGGCGACACTCCACAATGCACCCCACAATGGCAGGACCAGCGCTTCGGCGGCCAGAGTAAAACTCCTTATCCATATCCTAACGGCAGTCAACCAAAGGAAAATGCGTCGCCAACAATGAATGTCTGATGAGCTGGGTGCCGAAACAGCAGGGGCCAATCCTGCAGAGAGCCTGAGCAATTCTGTATGTGTTCCACAGGCAACAGTATGCAGGACAGAGAAAAACCCACCCATGGCTGGAGAGCCACGAAGAAGTGTGCAGCTCAACAGAGGTCTGTACACTTGAGCAACACAACATGTTGCGGGAAACAACGCGTTTGACAACTTCTGTTGCATTCTGACGTTATGGATATCGAAGGTCTCGACTTGATGTTCAGTACCCTCAGCTTGGCACTTTCCATTCAAGGCAGCTCCAAAAGAATAATCGGAGCAACCCTAAACCCTAGCCAACCAGGAACCCTCAAACCTCAATTACAAAAAAAACCCTTTAAGAACGGGGAGCCTCCGATGAGCTCGTCTGCGAGCTGTAGTTCGTGACAGTCCTGGATGGCCTCAACTTGTTTAGGGTTTAGGGTTTAGGGTTTAGGGTTTAGGGTTTAGGGTTAATAAGGGCTCCCCTTTCTTGAGTTTGGTATTGAGATTTTCCCCCTCATGCCCACAGGCCCCAAAAAAACTGATTCTCGTACCCGCGATTAGGCTTCCTATTAAGGACGGTTAGTATAAGGGGGAACATCCCAAGGTCGGTTACTCAATATAAAACGGGAACCCCGAACCGACAAACAAGGGTAAAGGGCACCACTGGGCTACCAAGTCAACATAGTTGTTGTGGGCTCAGAAGTATACCAGATATAGGATCATGTCTAGGGTGGAGGGAGATTCTGTGCCTTCCTCTTATAGCCAACAGTCTTCAAAAATGCCTTTTTGTGTTCTGGGGGCGGGTGGTTACTGCAGTCACAAGGCTCTTAGGGGTAGCTGTTGCTCTGAAAATGGGGAGAATCGCCCAAGTTGTGGGAGTGTACTTGAAGTACGGTTTATATTTCTTGTACCCCCAGCAGGACACCCAAGGTATACACTCACCAATACTAAAAAAGGAACCTTATATACACTCACCAAAACCAGTAGAAGAAACCCTGCTTCAATTTGGATTGTATGACGTCGGCCTCGCGCAACGCATCTTTGTCGTTCCGGTCCAAAGCTTTCCTCGGCTGATCAAGGGATGTTCGGGGGTGTGCGTATTTTGGCTTCGGGTCTAGGGTTTATAGGGTCTAGGGTCTAGGGTCTAGGGTTTAGGGTTTAGGGTTTAGGGTTTAGGGTTTAGGGTTTAGGGTCTACGGATTTTCGAGATTTGGGTTTAAGCTTATATTTGCGGGCTTAGCTACATTTCGGATCCAGGGCTTTAGGTTGAAAAGGTGGGGGGTTTAAGGGATCTAAATCCAAACTCCTTCTAAAGCTATTCCCTAAAGGGTGTTCGCTTCACACTTGATATGGTCAGTTCTCTAAGTTGTGGCCCCTCCCAAGGGCTTGGTGACGAACGGATTACCGGGGGGGTCAGGTATAGACGAACGCCCGAGCTCGGAATGCAATCAGACTCATTGCGTGAGGTTGTGGCATGGGGTCCCTTGGTCCCACAACGACAAGACAAGACCCAAGCCTCGACCTCCTTCTTTTCAGGTTGTAAGGGCACTTTTGTTCCTCAGATCCAAAATTCGAAACCCCAAAATCCTAAAGCCTAAGCCCTAGACCCTTTTGCAACTGGGCTGGGGG